TAACCAAGTTGTTTGGACAGGGCACACATTCATTAGGAGCTCTCCCATCTGTCAGAATAAAGGTTGCTCTTCAGCTTGGGTGGGACACAAGCGGCTCCTCCTTGTTTTTCTGGGAAATAAAATACTAAACAATTTCAAAACTTAGGGAGAAATGACTTAGTATTATTCTTTGCAAAAAATTACTTAAATAGTATAGTTTCATTTTGTTGTTTTCTTGCATGACTTATTTCTGGAAGCTACAGTCATTTAGAAGTGACTTTTTGAAAGACTTTTTGGAGTTCTCTATGCAAAGTGTTCAATGAGCATAGGAAAATGCAAATAATAAAGCAAACAATTTGTTGAGCCTGGCAAATAGAAAATACAGCATTTTCATAAAACGACAGTTGAAAGCACAAATCTATTTCATTTTTGATTGTTGTTTTGCAAATACTATTAAATACTATATAAGATATAATGCARATATCATACTAGACACATACAATAGCACTGTATAAAGAGTTACTAATCTTTTTCAATTAGAAATGCACTTTCACAATAGCTTACTGCTAACTGGGTTTAATCCCTTGGAAATCAGTAGTAAATTTGATTAATTAATTAATATATTATAACTACACAGTAAGACATCAAGACTTCCTTATGATAAAAATCTGATTTATAGTGGTCCTATACTTTGGTGGGATTAGGAAGAAGTTTCCCTTCTCTTTTCTTTTTTCCCTTCCTTTTTCCCTTTTCTTTCCTTCCATCTCTCTCTCTTTTTTTTTTTTTCTTTTTCTTTCTTGCTTCTTTTAAGCTTTCTTTTTTTCCTCTCACTCCTTTTCTCTCTTTCTCTCAGCGTGCTCAACCATCCCTTTGGCAAGGCAGAGCACTTGCAAACTGAATCATCTGAGTGATCAAACATACTGAAAGCTGAGTAGCTTTTCTCTCAGGAATGGATGTCTTTTCTGAGACATGCAAACGGTGAAAAATTTTCTAGGATCCTGTTTTCAGAGCAACATTACTCTGTAGAAAGTATTAATGATACATGACTACCTCACATATTACTTTCGCAATAATGTTTTATTGAAAATAACTCGTGTAAATTGTGGGAGTCAGTGAGCAGCATTTAAACACRCTACTTTCTGCATGTACACAAAGGTACGAACCTTTCTTTTGATCAAGTAAAACACGAGCAGTCTGTGAGGCAAGGAAAAATGAATCCCAGAGTGCCTAATTCAGGAGGTATCAGAAATTCTGTCTCTGTAGATAGAGGGCAATGAAAACTAACAGCAATCATACAGTAGCAAATTCCAAGTAGAGAAGGCATGTAACTATTAGATACTAAGCCAGGCAACAATGAATGTCAAATAAATTATTTTTGTATTATGATATCAATGGATTACAGTTGTATGAAATCCTATTTATGTAACTGCTAACTGAAGACAGTGAAGTATCAAAATAATTGGGTCAGGATGACAGCAAAACTGTTTGAGGATAACTGTTCTTGATATGAAACATTTGCCAAAGGGCAACGTGTGATTATTAAATCAATGGATAATGTATAAACCAATTAATATCTTATTAGTAACTAGTGGATTGATAAACTAAAATATCATAACAAATAAGTGAGAAATTACAGAAGTTATTCTTAAGAAAACTTTTCAGTGAAGGCAACTGGCACATGGCTGGTATTAATTATATATGGAATATGAGTTGAACTTTGCTTAGTTTAATGGATGTTTTWATTACAAGCAAGGGGCACACATGTTTTTGTTTAGTCAAGGAGAAAAATCCTCTCCAATGTCCTAGAAAAACAGATCAGAGATAAGGCTGGGAGTGATCTGGAGATGCTGCCCAACTCATCCTTCTGCATTCAGGCAAGTCTAAGCTAGACTCAGACTATGCCTGACAGATCTTTGTTTTTAAAAGTTTCTATTGAACAAGGTTTCATGATCTCCCTCAGGAAGTTATTTCTCTCTGCTCAATTACTCTATGTGTTAAAAAGTTTTCCCTGAAATGTAACATAAATAATTTTCCCTACAAATTAAGCCAATTTTCTCTTGTCTTAAGCCTTGTGGAATCAGAATTAAATATTTGCATGTAAGCAGACTTGGTCTCTTTCTTTCTCTTTCCAAGTCTTCTAAATTCTCAAGAAAGTTCATGTTTTCCGAAACTCCAGTTAATTTTGCTTTATGGCTGACAGCTGCCTGCAACACTGATGAGGGGTCCAATTAAAGGTACTAAAGAGAAATTTCTATCCTGGTAACAAGTCTCACTAATGCTCAGATATAGCCAAATGTGGAGACAGCTAAACTCTTCCAGAAAAAAGCAAGCACATCAAAAGCTAGGTAGCTTGTTAATCTTTTTGGTCCACCTTTCTCAAAATTCACCTAAATTGTAAGCATTTCATACATTTATTGTTGTAAGTCTGAAGCAGATTGGAATAATATTGGAATAATATTATTATTGGAATAATAACATTGGAATAATTAAACTAATTTAACTCCTGTTAAATATACCTGCAAATGAGATATGCCACATCACAAATCCACCACAAATTCACTTCTGGTGCAGTTAGACTGTACCTTGCAGAACCTTCTTTATGTTAAGTCTGCTATTTCCTACCTTACACACATATTTGATTTTTCTTTCCTATATGTAGTACTTACCTCATAGTTCTTTAAACTATTACTTTAAATCCGCACTCTAAAACACCTGCACCTTTATCTTCACCTTCTTATACACATTACACAATTTCCATATTTGAAGGTAGGCCAACACAGAAGTGACTGATGTAAATTATGAACACAATCCTGAACACTAAATCCTAAACAGAATCAYGTTCAGAAAATATACTCAAGATAATGAAGTAATTCACTTGAAAAGCCTTCCCACTTTGACTATCTGCTACTGGTAACAACTCAGATTTTTTCAACAATTCTTTTTTAACGACAAGATTTTTTCCAAATCTGTACTTTCATCTTATTTTGAATTCATCTAGATATGGCACACTTGCCTAGTTTACTATGAACATGTCATATGAAACTATACAGAAAGTTCTACTAAAATCAGAGTTTTCAGACCTATGATTTCTACTCTATCCACTATGTCAGTTTTCTGATCCAAGAAGAATCATCAACATCACATAAAGAGAAGGTAGTTTACTTGGTAGTTATAAATGAAATGGTGTTGTCCTAGTTTAAATCCTCATGACACGGCTGAACAATTTACAAGCAAATTGTCCCCACCCTGCTGATGTTTCTTKTTTTCCATTCCTTATAACTGAACTGCATCACTCCACAAGTACTTCTCTTCAATAGCTTTTGGGTCGTCACGTCAGGGTCAGGGCTTTGCGGTGAACATCACATGCAAGTTGCCTCCTCTGACCTCTGAGATAGAAGACCTGTCCCCCACACTTTCAAGAAGCTTTTCACRTCTACTCTGTTACAAGTAAATATCCAAGGAATTGATTAGACTAGAACTTGTCCTTTGAATGTTTCCTTCAGTTTGTCAGGAGCCTTGTTCACCTCTCTGTCTCACTAAGTGAATTAGAGCGGGTGCAGGATCCCTGCTCTTTCCTTTTTTTTGCCTTAACCCAGACTCTCTACTCCTCCTGCAGTTCAGATAAGCCACCTGACTCATTTCTCTGACAACTGATTTCAGTTTTGAAGCCAGTATGAAGGACTGTTGGGACTTACAGATTGTTATATCATATATTAATGGAAATTATAACTCAGAAGAGCAATTCAAACCCTTTCCACATTCACCTCTGCTTAGTGACCTATTGAAAAATAATTAACCTGCTCCAGCCTCATATTGCTATGATCATAACAGCAACAAAAAAACCCAACAGGCTACAAAGCCTAGAGATAAGCAAAGCTAGGTGCCAAGGAACCCAAACCACTATACAATCATCTTTTTCAAAATCTAACCCACACAATCCATTTCATAGTAACCAAAGCACTCAGATTTCCCCTCAGTTTAGTTATTTCACAGCAATATGGAAGAATTTCTCTACAGGAACTAACAGTCTGGTTAACTCCCATTCTCACATCAGCAGCCTACATGCCTAAAAACTTATCCCTACCCTTCGTCCTTCCACACAGCACATTCTCTAAATAGGTCACACAGTAAATTAATTCTTTTTTTGTCATACAAAACATGTCATCTACTCAGATCTTTTCTAATAACTGCATTAGCACAATGCCTAGATCTTCCTATTTCAGATGTCTTCAAATAAGGACCATCAGAAGCATTTTGTTTTGGTGAACTGAGTTCAGAATCTCGAGCATAGCTTGGAAGGAAGCAAAAAGAAGTATTTCTCATGTTATTGTTATTAGTACATTTATCTGAAAGACARATTTAATCCTCCCAAGAGCTAAGAGGCTCAATAAAGGGTTTGTCAAGTATTTTCACATGCTCTGATACATGCCATTATGTACATGTCAAATGAATGTTATTAATATGGATGATTAAAAAAATAAAAAGCTATTTGTTCGTCCTTCATCATCAAGAGATGAATTTGCATTTTGATTTTTGCATTTTGGAAAACACTTTGTATTGAGCAAGAAAACCTATAAACTGGACTAAACTAAACCATACTAAMAGAAAATGAACTAAAAGAAAAAGTGAGGCAAAATTAAACTAAATAAATGTTAACTCTTAAGGCAGAGAAACACAAAAAAAAACTTTTTCACTCCTTCTGGATTTGCAACATAGCATTTGWTTGTTGAAATTTCAAAGATAAAAAACTGCAAAGAGAAATGGGCCCTAGACCATTGGAAGAGAGCCCTTAGAGTGAATGACACAAAGCCTAGAATAACTCACTGAACAGCTATGATGGAACTCACCTTCAACTGAAACAGTCTTCTTGCCTTGACAGCAGGAGATGCCTGAGCTACTGCCAGCAGCCGCCCTGCAAAGCGCCCCACATGACTCCACATTGGGCACCCAGGCCTCCAGGACGTTGCATTTTTCCAGTCCCAGCAGCGAGAACACTTCCATAATGACCAACTTCCTAAATGTGATCGCCTGCCTTCTCCACAAAGAAAGATAATTCTGATGTGTCGGTCGTGTCTCTGTTGTTCTGAGCATCTGCAATGAGAGGCACAGAAGAATAATGAAGAGTTGATATGTGCTATAATTCTAGACACTGTTGTACATTTATGCTACCATGACTTTGCAAAAAATACACAAAGTCAAATTACCAGACCAAGGGACAACATATATGCCGAAAMAAAACAAAACAAAACAAAAGAAGTAGTAGTATATGAGTTAATACCTATTTAAAAAATATATATCTTTGTCTGGTATCTACCTCCACCAGTCGGAGGTCAAGCATGCCTGCCACCTCAACAGGGTTTACACTGTAGCTCTTTCCCTGCTCACTGAAAACTCCTTAGTGTCTTTTGTTTCTTTTTGGCATCTTTTTTTGTCACCTGGTTTAGTCAGAACTGAGGCCTTGTTCTGCTTTTGGCACAGCAATGAGTCCACAGCTGCAGAAGTACTGCTAGAAGCAATGACTTAAATAGAAAATCTGGACGCAGGTACAAGCTCACCAGATGCTGGGGTGACTGATGCGTCTCTCTCCCATCAACAGCAAAGTTTAAAGGATGAGACTACAACAGCAAAAGAAGCAATTTTCTAAGCGTTTCTTTTTGTTACTGTTGTTTGTTTCTTTTTATGTCTGCACTATCTCCTTTTGTCTTTAGAAAACCAGCATAGTTCCCTAACAGTAAAATAAGAATATAAGTTCTAGTCTGCCTCAGCTAAAATTTCTTACGGTCCAAAATATATCAGACTGATCTCCATCTGGAATTAGAATTCCCAGTCCTAATTCCACAGAAATTCCACAGAAAACAATTCCCAATGAAGCTGAAATACAACTGATATTAATTTCTGTTCAATCCAGGCACCATTATCCCATATACTACTTAATGTATTTTTGTGAAAAGGTTGTCAGTAAGAGCTGGAAATAAACCCCAAAGAACTGGCATTCTCCCATGTAATCTTCCCCTCCCAGCTACACCAAGTCTAACTATGTAAACATAATAGAGCGAGATCAATRATAACTTCCATATCCTGGGATGTCCATCTAGTTCTGCATCCCCTTGGCTCCCTAYGCTCCGGTTGTGCTGCAGGGTAGGACCACACAACATCCCAGTGTGCAGGTCCTCTCAGAAAGCACAACAGGACCTGGCTAAAAGACCAGCGCTTTCCCTCTGGCTCGGCACATGGAGAGCAGCCTGGGAAGRTGATCAGGCTGGGTGCTCCCTGGCTGCCATATGCCGGGGTCCTTAGCGGGACCAGCAAACTCGGAAAAAGAGAAAATACAATTAATCCTTGTATTTTCTTCTTATATAATAACCACTCTTATGGGCATAATTGAATAAACATAGGTTTCTGATGTTATTTTTTTTTCTAAATATGCTCTCATTGCATAGGTCCTTGAATGTATTTGACTTTTTTTTAATATATATATATATATAWWATATATATATATATATATATAAAGTGCTGGTGTTTACTGTAATTTAAGAAAATACAACAAATTTCTGCCCAAGTTTAAGATGGTTTGACTAGTGAGAGAATAGCCCAGTCCTTCGTACTGAAGGGCTTTAAAACTCCACTGGACACATAATTCTGGCAATTAATTAAGGTCCATGAACAGCAGAGTTTATTTCTACAGCTCTATGGAGGAGACACTATGGAAGAGCAAGATTCTTTCATTGCACAATTGGTAGCAGAAGCTTTAAAGCAAAAGGCTCACTCCATTTCTCACCAGACTTTCTAATGTATCTTCGTTATGATTGATCTCAGCCTCCCGTCATTTCTTTTCTTTTTGCTTTCATCAGAATCTGCATATAAAGAGAGGGGAAGTATTTCCCTCTAGACCGCTCGGATTTTATAAGAACCTTCTGTTCAAAGCTAGGAATGTGACACAGCATTCAATCAATCCTTTCAAAGATATGTAATTTCCTTAGTATGTGCAGAGATTTCACTTATGACGGGAAAGAAATTGAATTGCCTTATTTCCTTATGCTAAATTCTAATCTGAATTCCTTACTATAAGATTATATTGACAGAAATTATTTATTTTACAAATACAAAACTGATTGCTGCATGAAAAAATAACTGTGTAAAGCTTGAATTCAATTAACAACTTCTTATTGTTTTTAAGGTTTTTTTTTTTTTTTTTTTTTTTTATGGAAATACAATGCTTCAGAATAGAAGCCTCCTTAGCTATTCTTCTGAAACTTGCAGAACAGTTTCAATTAGTTATAGTTCTTCCACTGTAAAGGCACCAAGTGCATTGCATGATAAACCATACAAACATCAAGTGAGAACTAGCTTCTGTTTTAGAAGAATAGAGGGGTTAGGGCTCAGGAGACCAAGCTCTATTTTCAACTCTGTGAAGGTGTTACTGTGATCACTTCTGTACTATAATGTATACTATAATGTACCTTTCATAGTCTTAATATTTACTGTAAGGATCTGGAAAAGAAAGAAGGCAGAAGAAGGAACATAAAATTAGCTAGTGGGTATCCACTAACTATCATTACCTAATCCTCCTTACTGTTTGGGACACCTCCTACTCCCATCATACACCTAAAAATTTAACATATCAAAAAGATTGTTATTGATTAATTTTAAATCCCCTGACAACCCCTGGATGCTTTTCCCCTCCTGCATTTTAGAGGATAGACAGAGACTTTTATAAAAAGTTTATAATCTGTTAAAATCCTCTTTCCCACAGTTTCTTTTTTTGCCTATTATTGTTTGTGTCCTCGAGTCCCAAGGTTAAGCATTAGTTCAAATATCCCATCTAAATGTTTTCTCGTAGTACTGTAAATGTTACCCAGCTCTAATAAGTCCCTAGAGTGCTACAATATTTTTCCAAGTTGTGTTTGTAGCCTCCTAGACACCATCAGCCTTTTGATTATTACTTTACCATTGTGTTTACAAATTGTTCTCAATTTTAGCCCTTATAAATCTGATCAACAAAAATTTGTACGAACTGTAGAATGCATAGAGAATTATGGTAGCTGATTTCGTACTATTTGTAAATTTTAAGGCTATTTGGAACCAATAAAATGGATTTTAAGTTCATGTATAATACAAGCCCAGTAAATTTTTCATGCAATTCTTCTCTGAACTTCTAATACAACATCTGGAAAGATATGCTCTCTGGTTTAAAGGTTATACTGAGCACTAGAATGACATTGGAATGAACATCATGGGAAAAAAAAGACTTGAGTACAAGTTCTAGTTTAACCTAAGATAGTCAGTTGTTAGCCCTTGACTTTGTTATGCCATTTTTGAAGCCACTAAAACACAACGTATCATCAAGAATCTCTTTTACTCATGTGTGTACTTATATACTACGATTAAATTTCTCTCCAAATTAACCTTGGACAACCAAAATACAGTAGCATAATCAAATTCCTCAACCTTAAAATTCTCAGATCATTCAGATGCCTCTTATTCCTCCCCAATAACTCCTAATTTCCCAATGCCCTTTCTCTACTGTAAGTAATACATTCCAGCACTGACTTGCTTATCTACTTTGGCAGAACACAGTATCTACCTAATATGACTTAATATTTCTTTATAAAGTTTCAGAATGACACTTTGCYTCTCAAAATAGTGTTTCAATAGCAATATCTACAAGGATCTACAAATCTGAATATCAATTCAGATATTTTCCAAATCAATATGCAAGATAAGAAACAGTCTTTCATCCTACAAGCGTGATTTCCATGACATCTTAGCCAACTTACACAACTCTAACTACAGCAATCTGGAAGATAACAATTGTGAAAAGTGCATGGTAAATTCAAAGCAGACTTTTAAACATGACTTCAATATTTATACTTCCTAGGCAATCACCTGAACCTTTCTTTAGGCAAGATTTTTATCGGTTTAAAATGATAAATGCCTCAAATCTGCAGGATTCCTGAAGTTCAAGCTTATTCATGATGCATGAGATAAAACGGTGAATAAGAAAAAGCCAGCAAGCACTCTGAGAAGTTCTCACATACACACATAGGCACCACATTTCGAGGAGTAAAACATGAATATCCAAATACAAAACTTCTTTTGTTTTTTCTTTCCTCTTTTACTAGTAATAAAAAAAAGAGTATCTTTGGAATCCGTCCTTCTCGGCACATTTCACAAAGCTTTTCTTCTGGCAGCTGCTCAGTGTAGTTCGCCATGCCTTTCCATACATTTTGCTTTTCCAGTGAGTTTCAAGAGTAGAACAGCTGTCAGAGAAAAAGGCTTGCAAACAACACAAGATTAGATTTTTCCAGTGCTTTATTTAGAAAAGGTCTGTTTCTTCAAAGATATCTTTGTATCTTACTTGGTGCAATATACTTGGAAAGACTGATTTATAGGGGCTAAATAGACAYTTTATTTTTTTTAATAAGGAGGTATTGTAAAGACTCGAAAAATGAGGAATTAAAAAAAATGGGGCTTCAAGCTCTAGAGATGATTAAAAATCGTGGAAATTGATTCTTTTTTTTTCCTCATTTAACTGTTCTTTTGACACTTACATTTTCAGTTTACTTTCACTAGTTCATTAAGTAGAACTATATGGCAGAAGACAGAGACACAAAACAATTAAAAGGAACAATTCACATTCAAGAAATGAAACAAAAAGGTTGAGTCCCAGGATAAAACTCTGCCTAATTCAAAAAGCGATGAAAAAGCATAATTTGTTTAAAAAACAAAATCCCTCTCCAATCTTTTCACTACTTTTTATCGGTTTTCAGTCCCCGTTCAGGGGATTAGTTTACATCGCACAACCTGCCTAAAATGAATGAGGACTACCCAGGTAGGAACAGAAAGTGGGCAGCAATGTAATTTATTCTCCGCTTCTCCCTTCCTACATATTTCATTAACCCACTAAATTTAACAGCTGGCGAGGGAGTAGCATACCTCTGTTATGCACTTCTTCACCACTTCCACAGTGGGGAAAGTGGACTTTGGATTTCTCAGAGTTCACTTATTTTCTTTCTGAACTGGTCTATGAACAGAATGTTTTTGTTACCTTCTTTCCTAGGGTCTCTGATAAATATTAGCCTGACTGTAACCAGTTATATATCCCRTTCTTATAAAGAGTTACCTAATATTTTAGCAATATATACAAACGAATCTTGTATTTCCTAAAACCAGATTTCCACTTAGTCACATTGCACAGTAATATCTAAGCATATTTGGTATAATTATTCTTATTAATTATTCTATTTAGTTGACACATTTATTCACCAGATAAAAGAAAAAAATATCTTTTACTTTATGGCATTGTTTGAAATCCCCTGCTTTCTATGCATGCAATGTAAATCTTTCTCATTTAATCTCTTTGAAGTAAGCCCTAAAGAAGTATAGTATCTTATTGCTATTTCTCATTAATAAGTATTTTATAAACCACTACTTCATTCTTGAAGAATCATTTGAATTTTGTCTATAATGACAGTGATGCAAACAAAAAGATTGCACTTTAAGTAGAATCAAACGTATCTCTTAGGAACACATTCTGTGAGCTTCCATCCTGATTAATATGTTACTGTTTGATCTACTTTTTTTTTCTTTAAACAATCCACTGCCCTCTAAATCTTCAAAGACCCTTAGAATGTCAAGCTCCTAAAATGTAGTTGTCTAATCAAAAAATATATTCTTTTTTGTTTGTTTTTTTTTGTTTGACCCTATTGTAACTATGAAGTAACTTATCAAGGCTCAGCCTACATTGGGTCTGAAGCAGGTAGCATTTTTGTCACAAAAAATGACTGATCTTGAATGAGGGAAGCCTGATTTGAAATGGAAAATGGACTAGGAGAAARGACTTAATGGGGGAACATGTCAAATTACTGCACTTTTATTCAGTCAATTAAAGTGAGAGTAAAGGCTGACTTTTACTGTCAATAAGTTGAAATAATTACTTCAATGAAGTAATAACTATTACAGACATCCTTTCCTTTGCTCCCAAATCAGAGCAACTTTTAATCCTGAAAACAGACTGGATTAAAAAGCAAGAAGTTCTATTTCATCTCCTAAATCCACACTTCTATTTCTTATTCATAATTTTATAGATCTTTATACAAATATAAATACACACACCTGTATGCACAGATATATATCAAGTATAAATAAAAAAATTCTCTTCTAAACATAAACATGAAAACTAGAGAAGCTTCTCCATGGATAATGTATGCAAAGATATGCTTAATTTCATGCCTGCTGAATACAGAGCAGCTCTCCCTGAGATGAATACTTCTCCTTCGAAATCAATGCAAGTCACTGAGTGAATGTCTGTTTTGAACACCCAAAGCTATCTAGATCTGAATACAAGAATCTATTATTAAATGTGTACTTTTTAAAGCTTGTCCAGCACAAAGTGACTTTATCTCTCAATTTAAACAGTAAAATTAGGTCATGTGAGATACTTGAAAATACTTCACAAAATAGCTTCACCCTCCTTTCATYCTAATAGTGTTTGCGATATCTATGACACCTATAAAAATTATGCTAGAGATAAACAAAACAAACCCAGCTGTTTCTGTGATAATTAACTACTCAGTTAAGAAACAGTAAAGGTCTCATCACATGACTATGATAAGTACTCCTACTTTTTCTATATCCACAATGTGGATTTGAAAAAGACTTTATAAAAACGAAATGACATCAGTCAACTTTCTTGAAACAGGTCCAAATTTTAGTAGCGATTTATAGCTTCACACTGTTCAGCACTGAATTAATTAAAATATTATCTAGAAAGAAATTTCCACAGGGGATAAGAAAAGCACATCTTCCTCAAAAATTCTGTTGGTAGGTGGTAAAAGAAGCTGTGAGCACGAGTTTGTCCCAAGGGACTTGCATTCTGGGAGACACTATTCCTTCGCCTTCTGATTCTTCAAACCTTAAATCTTATCTTGGTTAGAGAAACACGAGAGACCTTAAAAATTCCTAAGTCTTTTATCTTCACCCAGTTTGTAGGCATCTTATCATAGCTACTTAAAACATCATCTTTAAAGTTTCTTTTGATACAAGAAGAGCACAAGATAACTTTGAAGATAGAAATGGTCACAATACTTTCAACAGAAATAGAACTTGGCAAAAGTGAATTTCTATAAACAGTTCAGGAAGATTTAGAGGGTAGAAATATAAATACATTATAGATTTATATTTGGCCATTATGGTCATCTGTAAGCACAGCTCCCACTGAAAAGTACCCTGTTCAGAATACTCACTTTATTTTCCCAGGATTTAAAAATCAAAGAATTGTTTAAAAATACATGAAATAGTGGACCAAAAAAAAAAGCTACACAGATGAGATAGCAATACAAGAACTTCTGTATTTTCTCACCACTGAGAACACAAATATCAATGCTCTCTCCTGCAACATCTGATCTGGATGAGATATTCATCTGATTAGAATTTAGTTGTTATATTGCTAAAGTGGCAGACCTTGAATTAGAAACATCCAGAATACAAATCAGCTTCACTGCAGCATTCAAAGTTTATGAAATTATTTCTTTTTATGAAATTATGAAATTATAAGAAATATATTCTTATGAATATATTTCTTATATTCCAAAGTTTTTGGAATGAAAACAAACTTTTCAAATATTTTCTTATTAAATAGGGATTGATTGGGTCTTTTAGTGTTTATGCCATCTCAGCTATGACCCCATTTGGTCTTTCAGTCTTCACACTGCCTTATAAAGCAAAACTGAAGTCTTCTCCTCTTTGTCTCCCCCTAAGTCCAAGGTGGTGTCCCTAGTCTCCGCTTCGACATGATGCTGGAAATTTCCCCTCCATGTTGTGCTTGTGCTATATTAATACTCCCTGATTTCATTCCACGTACTCAAATCCTTGTTAAATTAAAACAACGTCATTCAAACAGGTAAGGCGGGGCAGCTACCAGGTGGCTTAGCAGCAGCCCAACACAAGGAGTACAACAGAGTCTGGCTGCGGTGTCTTCACTCCACCCTCCTTTACTGCTCTGTGCAGCTGCAAGGAGGGCAGATTGTGCTGCCTGGGGAACCATGCAGGAGCAGAGTCCCTGCCTACCAACCATCCTGGAAGTGGCCACTGTGTCTCACTCCCAAGCAAGCTTCTGTAATGCCAGAACTTCTGYTAAGCCCTAGTTTCTTCTCTAAGYTCCCATCTTCCAAGCAATTCTTCCATATCTGGACAAGTGAGAAACACAAAGTAAAACTGCTTCTGCAATTTCTGATATGATACTTGTACTCTCCATCACTCCTTAAATAAAATCACAGTCAGTAAATTTATGAGTAATTGAAAAGTTAGCTATTTTAGAAATTCTTTTTACATAAATAATGACAAGGAGTAGAAAATTGCTTAAGTAGCTGGCAGGTAATACTCAACATATTCCTAAAGGCATGTACTGTAGCATTTTACGGATACAACTTGAAAATGTTCAAAACTATATTTAATTCAAAAAATACACCTCCCCCTTGACTTCCTGAGATGATACATACTGACTGAATAAATATCTCTTAAAAGTTTACAGAAGAAACACAGCACTGGTTTCAGTGGTGCGCAATGATCATCTTGGAGCACTCTGTTTTCTCCTATTTTGAGAAACTATGAGCTATTCCATAAATGAACTGTAAGAAAAGGAAGGCTTGAAATCTTTACACACTGACTTCAACACCCCAGACACTAATACAGGTGTCTGGGACCTGTTTGTAAGAGGAACCAAATACATTTATCTAAGTTACACTCTAAATCTTGTAGGACAGACATTAGCACGCAGAAGGTCAGATTACGTTGAAATGCCCTTAGGCTGCTTTGCAAAGGGAATGCAGAGTGCCACAAAGTGTGATTTGGGAACTATGCTGTGAACTCAAAAACCACCTGTTCACAGGAACTAAATATTTCTAGTTTAAGAGTTAATACTCTAACCTTTTCGTTTAATAATGCACCATTTAAAACTGTGAATGTTCTCCTCAGATTTTACAGTATCACAAGTCGTATCTTTTTAACTTTTCATTTTCCTGAGTTTTTTTATATGCTACTCTAATGCAACAATATAACTCTTTCAATAAGGAAATCCAATCTAACAGCATCCAATTATGAGACCCAACAACTGCATCATTCACAATATCTCCATTTCACATTTCTTGCAACAATATTCTGTGGAAGCAAAAGATTCCTCCCTACCTTTTTGGAAGCACGTGACAAAATTAAATGTTTGCAGTTGCCTCTTCTCTGTTTTAGTCCATTTTCATGCCATATTTTTATTCTTGATGCACACAGCTTGCCTTCATTTTAAACAAAGTATTACGTAAATGTAAAATAATCAAAAGAAGGAGGAGAAACAAAAACACACATTGAAAATTTCATACAAATGTCAGGACAATTTAATCAAGAAATATACAGCACATTCCAAATCAGTTCACTGATCTTGACTGACTATGATGCAATGGTCAASTAAAAGATTTCACTACTGTGCACAGACATTGCTCCTTCTGCCTCTTATTAACCAAGATCTTCATTCACCTAGATATTTTTAAATTAGTAAGAAATGCTATTTAATTTACATTTTTTTGCACTTCTCATTTGATACATTCAGTATATTTAGACAGGTTATTTTTCYTTGCCTAAGCTGCAAGCTGTGTATGAAAAGACACAAATTTAACTGAATAAAACACAATACCACCAACAGTGTAAGTTTTGTTATACATTTACCTTTCCAAAACCTCTCTCCTCAGAGCGATTACTATTTATTTCATTCAGTTTTACTTTCTCAGAAAAAAATTCTGAGAGTATGTTAGGTTAGCTTGGGAACTTTTCTAGTTTTTTTGTATATCATCTTAAAATTACTGCTATAAGCCAGTGACAACACAATCAAATACAGCAGGAATACCCTAAAAGCAAATTACAAACTCATCCAAATCTATTGTATTCCATCAAGTCAAAGGTCCACTTCACATAACCTTCTCCAAGAATAACCAGTAATGGATGCTTAAGTGTAAGAGATGGGAAAATATAAAATGGTATGTTTTATGGTACATCCTTTCAGCTTCTAGCACTTTGTGGCTGTTAATTCAGACAGGATGTAAATCCTTACTGTAACTGTGAAGTAAAATATTGAAACTACATTGCTATCTTTCTATCATAGCAATAACTTATACCTTGACTCCATTAAGAGTTGGATTCTCTCGTACCAAATAAAGTATAAATGTATAAACTCTGCCCTAAAGTATTATCTAATAGAAAAAGTACTAAAGAATGATCTCTAGGAATAAAAGAAGTTAATGAATGAGAGGGAAAAAGAAATCAAAGCTTATCTCACACAGCTTTTCAGGTAATGCATGTGGCGAGGAACAGCGTTTGGTATCCTAACTGCTGTACTCTCCACCTGGTTAATGTCATTCTTTATGATTAAATCTGTGCATTTAAGTATTAGATATTAAATTTTGGTATATATTTGTATAATAACTTGCTAATAAAATGTTTATTGAGGGATATTTCTTGAGCTGCAAGAYGAAATTGAATTTCAACTGTATACAGCATTTGAAACTACCAGGTAAGGGAGCCAGGTGTTCCTTATTCCCCCAAAAATGTTTAAGCCAAAATACTCAAATTGATAGAAGCTTGTCAGCATAACTAATGATGGAGGGAATTAGAATTTTTATATATTACATAGCTGGGTACTTTAAAGATTTTTAAGTCATATCTGTGTTTTCAAATCATTAGGACATGAAAAAGCACTARCCATACTTTCAAAGGTCATCATTCTAAAACAAAAAAATTCCTGTTCTTCCAAAGCTGCCCAAATCAACTTTTACTATTTGCTTTCAAAAATCTTATAACTCTTAGTTTATTCAGTTGATAATACTCATGACAGCAGTTTAAATTGCTGTCACTGCTAAGCCCCTATTTCACACTTAAAATATAAGTTATATAATACAGAACTCTTAGTTCAAATTATTTGGAGAATATTTCAGTTCTTAATTGCTTAAGGGACATGCTCTTTTTTTTTTTCTTTTTTTTTTTTTTTATGTTAGCTCTTCTGAATGTGAACACTGGAAATGTTACAGCTTACAAAGGTGTTAATGAATTTCTTTAAATACCACAGATTATTGAAGTAACTTGCCTCTGTTGTTATTTTACAGTGTCAGAGGAACTTCATACAACGTGCGAGAGAAGCATGATTTTCTCTATTTTCTTTCTTTACTTCAACTTAAAAAAAAAAACAAGAAGTGCCAAATAAATGACAATAATTTATTTCTATCAAATGTTCCCCTATTAAAGCTCTTTTGCCTATGCAAAATAAAGAAATGGAAAGAGGAGGGGGAATTCCTTCTCTGGGTAAATACAAGCTCCCTTTTTTATTGCTTTTTAGAATGTTAGACATTTCCAAAATGACAGCAACTTGTGCTGCTTTTATCAAGTATCTATCAGGATGCACTTATGTATTTAAACACTGAAAAATATCCAAATATGTTTTCTATTTCTGTTTCTCATGTTGCTGCTTTTTTTTTTTTTTTTTTTTTTTTCAAATAATATGAAGGGATCGTATTAATTCTTTTGCATCAGAGATTTTAGTTTAAAGAAACAATAGATGCTTGAACGCAACCTTTCAAATGGTGAAGGGACCCAACTTAGAATGAAAATATTTCAAGAGTGGAAATAATTTTTTTTAACAAATGCTGTAACTTCAAAAAGTTACATGGTAGGACTCAGAGTATGCAATCTACATGTTTACAGGGAGTCACTACACTTTCCAAGAACAGAGGCCAAATACAGTTAAAAGGACCATTGTTTCCAGGAATCTACAAATTATACAAGACCAAACACAGCATAGGTGAACAAATTTTAAATACAGACACACTGAGTGCCTTAGAGCAAAGATYAATTTCATCCACTACTTAAAATGTCAAACCACTTACTACTGTTTATCACTTCTAAGGACAAGAGCTACTGTCATGTTACAAATACAATTGGCTAAGATCTATGATGGAGCTATATTTTGGGGAGTCTCTTGCATTTTAAGGGAGCTAGATTGCAAGAATGCCAAGTCTAGCAGCAGAACCTATGTACATATCTCCAAGGTGGCAATGGGGCATTTCATAGAGTCCTTGTTTCAGTGCCCCCTTACTTATGATTTAATGGCAATCATAAGTTAAATTCACAAAAATATTAACTTCTTCTCAAAAAATACAAAACATCCATAGGTCCTGTCACGTGCAATAATTGTTCAGTACTTCTGAAAAAAAAAATCTGATAAATACTCTGAACGCAGAGTTTCACATATTCCTCTTTTCCTATAGCAGGTGAACCTCATCTTAAGTTGGGCATTCAAATGGGATGTTGGAATGTTCCATCTTTCCTAAACCATATGATTAAATTCTACAAAACACTGCAGGTAACAGAGGGAAGATGTCTAAGAACAGAACAAGGCTCTGACAAACCATGTATGACAATAGCCAAGTGGAACGCGCTGGATAATCATGTTACCATTTGAAATTCTTCAAACACCAACTGGAAAAATAACATTCTGCAGGTTTTCACGGTTTTACTCACCTTTCATTGAAACTCATTAAAAACACATAGCAGATGAAGAAAAGAATCAGGAACCTGACCAAAATGTAAATATAAAATTTCACACAAACAAAATGTTTTGCAGCTCTACAGAGGAATACTTTGATATCRTTTCAATTTCTTTTAGAAGACCAACTAGAAAGTTTAGGAGTAGAAACTTAACAGCCTATTTACATAATGTTTTTTCAATGGTAGCTAGCTATTATTTAAACAAGTTTGCAAAGTGAAACAGTAGAAATTAAATACCATCAGGTATTCCTCAAAGTTTTCCTTCAGGAACCATTATTTCTACTCCATCTAATTTGAGAACAATTTCTGAAACTGACTGGGACATTCTGAGAAATCAAGGAAAGGAAAGTTAATATACAATACAGATGGTAGGCCAAAATTGAACTTCATAATATTGAAGTTCATAATTGAACTTCATAACTTTCATAATTGCAGGGTACTTATTTGTGACTTTGAAAAAAGCAGCTGTACTTTGAACTTTGAATATGAAAAAAAAAAACTCTATACTATTTCTTTCAGCCTCATTTATATGCTGAAGTTATGTCATGCTGTTCTCTTCATTTAATTCATTTGAGATATCCTTAGGATATGAGTCCACACTACTTAAATTTTTGGCACTCATACCAAAAGAAACAATACCTATTTCTTGATGATATATGCCTTTAATGCATAAATCCCTTCCCATCTTTCTTTTTAATCACTTTTGTTTTTGTAAAGTTAATTCACATTTGTTCTAAAGGTTTGCCTATGGGTTTGGATACATCGATTGCTTTCTTTTAATCGTATTCTTAGGTCTGTCATTCTTCCTCATCTAATTTAATCAGTCAGACAGTGCATTCAGAACTCTCTGTTTAATATTCTGATCTTAATGCTATGATAAGCATAAGAGGAAATCTCACATAATGGATTCCTCTATCATCAGAATTTTTGTCCGCATATATGTGTTACATCCTTTCCAGCCTCTTCTGTATTTCTGACAACATTTTCAATATTTTTCTACTCCATAAACACCCTCTTTAAGTACAACAACAAATTATTTTTCTTCTTTCTTTTGACTGTTTTCTTGTCCAATGTTCGATGACATCTTGTCTTGGGTAGAATTACAGGAAAGTGAATAAACAAAACTATTAATWGTATTTCATTCAAACTCTGAGCAAAAACTTACTTGTATTAACTTTTGATGAGGCTGGGAAATAAAGAATTCCTTCCCTTCGCTTTTTCGAGTCACTTTTAAGTTTATGCTTCACCCAGTAACTGATAAGTGACAGTAACCACTGCAGAAGGAAGAGACACAAGCCATCAAACACAATCCTTTAAATCCAGGGTCATGAAGATTCAAAGAAAAAGAAAAGCTTACACAAATACCGGTAACACCCTGAAATTCTGATAGAACAATCAACTTTGTTACTGATGCTCAAATAACTTCAAATATTTATGAGTGTTGAACACCTTAATAATAATCTCAGTTGCTCTCCTATGAAGTAGTCATGTCAATGCGTTGCACATGTCATGTATATAGGAAAAGTTCTGCACTAATACTAAAATGTGTATGAAGAATTAATTCATACTACAGTGCAACTTCGTTGAAACTAGGGCTTGAAAAGACTGAAGCAGAATAATGAGATTTTTTTAAAAGAAGAATATGAATCCACAACTGTTAGTGCGGTCAGCACAAGCTGGGTTTTGTTGTTGTTGTTGTTGTTGTTGTTGTTGTTGTTGTTGTTTTTAAGAAAATAACTACAAAAATGCAGATAGTTCATAAACTTTACATTTCCATTTCATGATTTTGGTCTCAGTTTTGTAAGACCTCTACAGTTTACATCCCACTGATAACTTCCAATCGACATGCTCATCAAATTTCAGCCAAGCTTTCTAACTTCCTCTCATCCTGTCAATTTAGGAGATGATCAGAAGAGAAAGTACCAAAAAACATAAGAAAGCTCATATGTGCCTTGTTTCTAGTGAGTAAATGCATAAATGCATATTAATTTAAACTCTTTCCCTTCAACCTACTAATACTGACTTTCTTGTTTTCTAGTCATTACACAGTATCTCTGTGTTCTGATCCTACAAAGTCTTGTGCGCATACTTTGAAGAAGGGACTATTTATGAGCTTGAAGTCTTCAGAGTGTGTTGCTGGAGTCCTAGTTTATAAACTTCACAAGGAATGAGAAACCATGTGCCTTGGAATTTTCTGGGTTGCTTTTAAGACATTTTCCCAGCTGCTTTTTTTAACTAAGTCCCAGATGCAGACTTCTGAAACACTCGTAGATTCTCCCATTGTACAATTCTGCAGTTTGTTCTAAAATTCAACAGTAGTTTTAAACTAGTAGTTCTACCAGGAACTGAAAGGAACTTAATTCCTGGTGAGGATTTTCTTTGAATTAAAGCATAAGTGACCAAATTCAAATTGTAATGAGTTACTGTGCAACAGATTCAATTCAACTTAGTTTATATTTGCAATAGGGACATAAACTCTCCACATCATGTTGCAACATTCTCTCATGCTATTTGTTTCATAGAAGCTTAGGCAGATGTTAGTTCCAGATAACTTGGGACCCTCAACCATCCATTCCCATCTTTACTTTTTCATGGCTAAAAAGCTGTTGTGACCTCATACAAAGCCAGTTCAGGGAGCTCGTTGTTCCGATCCCCCCAAACAAAGTGTTCAGCTGCCTCACTTTCCTGAACTGGCTCACAGAACAAGCATTTAGGTGGTTGGGCTGACACAGGCTATGAGGTGGAGATGGTCAGGAAGATATCCAGTGGTCTTCATTTCTGTGGAAACCCACTGTCCAATGTATGTTTGCTTTGCCCAGAAAGAACTAAATCCCCACACTTTACCCCTTTAGTTCTATTTACTTCTTTGACTTCCAAGTTCTCTTCCAACCCTAAATTCTAATTTCTAGTTCTCAGACTTTACACAATCTTGGAAAACTGCTTTTCTCAGTGAAGCCAGTTTGGAAGTAAATTCATTCAACTTTAAATCATGAAAAGTAGAGAAACCTAAGCATACATAAACACTTTAAGTAAAATATATCAATAGCTTCCAAATATTTTTAAGATCTCATGCATTTGAATGCTATTAAAGATCTTATTTTTAACAGATCACAGTAATACTAATAGAACTCACTAGCCTCACATGAAACCAAAGTGACTCAGGGTACTAGATGAGAAGACCATGTTTTTGAAACTGATACCTTGTTCAGGTCTTTCTAAATGAATACCAATTTCTTTTGAAAAATTTACCTTGAAACAAGCTCTGAGTTTTAATCTATGATAATCACAAAAAAAGCTACACTATGCAATCTAGTAAGTCCCTATATTACTGAATAGTGTTCTTTAGTGCTATTGATTCTTTCTCATTTTAGATCAAGTTATACTTTATAGAGCCAATATACAGGCCAATATAGGTTTTCCTGACAGAAATGCATTTCCTGTGTTTCTCTGTCACATCAGACACCCGTGTCTCATTTCCTCCATTTTCCTCCATAAAACTATTGAGCCTCATTTTTAGAATCCCCTTAGACTTTTGYTTTCTACATTTGTAGTGGAAGACAACTGCAGCTTAAGAAGCTTTAGCAAAATATTTTATTATATATTTTTTATTTCCTTTCCATCTCAGGTGAATAACCACAGTTTATGAGCAGAGACAGCAATCTTACCATCTTGCTTTCATTACACTAATGCAGTTAAGTTCTTTTGCATAGATGAAAGACTTTTCACTCCTCCTTTCTGCTAGCAATTTTCACTTTTGYATGGTGCAAACTCCATTCACCATTGCTCTACTACCAGATACATTTTGACATGGGGGTGGAAATCAGTCCCAGTCCTCTCCTCATGCTACTTAGATTTCTCTCTCTGATGTGTGCAATAAACAAGTTGCTTTCCCAACTGCCATATGACATCTCACAACAAGGACAAAGGAGAAAAACAGACACAGAGAAGGACATCGGGAGTGGAGAGGATAAGCAGACCTGCAATAATTGCAGTTTCTGGGAACGAGGCTACTCCTCCTCAACAGAAATTATCTTGAGTTGTGGTCCACGCCGACAGCAGGTAGTTAGGTGGCCCTTCTCAAGGCTATCCTTAGACCAGTCCATGTCCCCAGCAGAGGGTTGTAGTCCCAGAGAGCAGGGACCCTGCAAGTTTTTGAAAAGAAACAAAACAGACGCATAAAGGACATAGTTATTTCATCCTCATAATTTCACCTAATAATGCAGCAACTGCCATAGAGGTAACCATAGCAGTTCACATGTGGTAAATAACTTTGAAAATCTACTTATCTACAACATATTTGAAATAACTTTGGGTTTGCTGCCAGCAAACTGGTCATGCCAGTCCCCCACAAAGTGCAGAACTCCATACTGACTTTAGTAGGCCTTATAAAATAATGTCAGATATTAGAGAAATTCCAGGAATAAATCATTTCACTATTTTAGTTTTATAAAACCACACAGAATTAAAAAGTGTACAAATATACACTTCTTTCGTTCTTGAAAAGGAGAAGTGTTCCACCCACTTGCATTCAGTACAAATAAACTCTTAATATCTCCAGGCAGAAATAGTTAATAATTAGTATTTTGTTTAGTTACAAGTGTTATTTTTTCTATAGAAATACTTACAGCAAACATCATCATCTTCCAGGAAGTCATTTTGATCATTTACAAAATAATGACAGTAGAATATTTGTTATTTCTCATGATCATAAATCAACAATAAACAAGCTTTGATGCTTTTCAGCTCTCCAGAGGTACAATAAGTGCATTACTGAGAATAAATATTGTCCCGTTGCTATAATATGAATAATTCATCATGCCTAAGATCTCTTCCTTCTGTAGGCCTCTTTCCAAGCTCAGACTCGAGAACATGATTTATAGAAGGTGTACATCATCTTATCCTTTATACCGTCACTCTCTACTTTAAACACTGAACATGGCATTCCCATTACAGTTATTTGTAAGGTACCCATTTTATGAGCTATGCTGTGTGTTTATCAATATATTACTTGTCATTATAAACTGTGGTAACATGGTACTTATGTATCCCAGTCTTTACTGGCAGCATCCAAGGCAAACACAAATCACATATAATGTAAGAAGACAAACAATAAGCAATAACTTACCTTGTAATCTGCACACTACTTAAAAAAATACTGTCATTTAATGCAGTTTTTAAAAAAATATTTTCCAGTAGATGGCATATACTAGTGAAAACATTTTAATTCAAAATACCTTTTTGAAAAGTCATTTCTTGACTTTGTAGTGGTGAACAGTTTATCATAGATTTGATTTGTTCAGTCTCCATATCAAGAATCTTTTTTTTTTTAATCAAAAGTGGGATTGGCATTCCTATTCTTCGTTTTGAAGATGAAAGCCTTTTTTCTCCCATATCACATTCTCTGCTTGATTGGGATACATTATTGAAGTAATTTTTTCTTTTATGGAAAATATTTCCCATCATACTGACTTTATAGTCAAAGTTATTTTTATAATTAAAAAAATTGTCTAAAACCATTTTTTCAGGTTTTCATGAAAAGAGACAGATAACTTTGATGATTATTTAAAGCAAGCTATCACCAAGAGCGCGGCCATCTTCAAGGTGGGGCTTATTGAACAACTGTTCAAGCCATCTTCCTTATGCACTTGCTTCACATTTCAACACTCACTGATTAAAATACCACAGTTAATGAAAATCGCCTAAAAACTTTCTTCATTTTTAAGTGACCAGTATTTCAGCTCATTTCTCTGCATAAACACAGAAAAGAATCCACTCTAGTTTTCAATGAGGAAATAAYGTAAATTGCTTTAGACACCCGTATATCTTTAAACTAATGCTTCTTAACAAGTGCACATAATGGAAATAAATGAGAAATACAAGGCATTGGTATTGGAAACAGTAAGTTAGTGAATTATCTGCATAGCTTAGGAGTGCTACCATATGTTCAAATTTGTCTTTGGTCGTACTGATCTCAAAGTTTCTTTTCTAGGAAAAGAAAACGAGAGTGTGGCATCTGAAAGTCAAAGTAGCTTATGCAATGGAGCTTCTGAACTCAAAGGAAAATTTTAGAATGAAAAAAGTTAAAGGAATTTTACTTTCAATGTTGAAAAAGTAGAGAAAAAAATAAAAGGATGTGCTTTAAGATGAGACTATAACTACCAATCAAAGTACTTCTGGGTGCTTGGAGAGACAGAATGGCATTTAAATTTGAATGAAAAGCAAATGAAACATGGGAAGAAAAGTGAAAAGGAAAAGAGTACAAGTAGGAAAAGACGGTGCTCAAAGGTTACTAAAGTTAAAAAAGGTTGAGAAATAACAATGTATTTGATAAATGTCTAAGAAATGATCTTTTCATGAACTTTTAGCTATATTTTAAAGAATAATCAATGAAAGTTATTTATTCCATACAGTATCTCCAAATACAGGTTCTTTGTTCATGATCGTATCTAAGTAAAAAACCGTAACACCAATTTGCAATATACCCAAGAATATTTTTTTCAAGAAACAATTGTTCCCTGATAAATCTGAATATGACATTTTAATTTGTGCAACTGGAAGGATTCCTGATTTTTATCATCTCTTTGCTTTTAACTACTTTATCTTGCTTCAGAGGATGGGGTATTGCAAGCAGCTGTGCCTTTGAAATCCGCACTTTTGCCAAAATAAACAACAGTTTTACTGCCCATACAGCAATGACATTTATTATGATATACTCATMTAAGCTGATCAAAGTATATTCTATGTCATCTGAAAAGCAAAACAGCAATAATCAATTATCAAGTCCTCTTAAAAGTGAGAATGGGGATAAACCTCATGTTACAGCAAATTCTCAGATTCTCATATCTTTAATCATACATTCTAAACAATTCCCAAATCCATGGTCCAGTATCAGCATAGAAAACTCCCCATAAAATATTAAGTATGCTCACTAATTCCTTCCCTTCTGTTCCAAATATAGAGATATGTTTATATGACATGTTTTACTGATTTCAATTTAGCAATCTGGAATATCCTAGGATAAAATAGTAATTTGAGTTAATGAACCAATAAAGTGTGCTCATCTCTCTACAATTATAGTACGCAGGGTTGTTTAATCCTCTTTCTATAGACAGGAGGTTCTTTTACATGCCCATAGTATTCCCACAGGGAGTGTAACTGCACTCTCTCATCTTTTCACCACACCAGGCCTTTTGGAACCGGATATACCCATGTGTGAGGTCAAATGGCCTTTTCCTAATCTTCCTCTACCTAAGCCATAAAGAAGYTATGACACAGAATCATTTTGCTAGCATCTGCTAACACAGTATGGGGAAAGAGCTTTTATAAATACAAGTGTATCAATAAGAGCAGAGATGCACAGAATTAATGAAGAAAAGGTAAAAGTTGTCTTAAAATACCGTTCTCACCATCGTCAATCTAGCAGGAATAAATTAAGGATAGAATGGAATTTTAAAGATCTTATAGGGACTACAACATACTGAGAGCTTAAAGTCCTTTCAGCCTCTCCTGTCATTTCTACCACAACGCAGCCCCCAGGGGGTTCCCCAGCCCCAAGGCAGCACATCAGTTTGGGCATTTTTTAGGAATAAGGAAAAGGGAATGAAAATTAAAGTCACTCTGAATAAACCATAGTGGATTTCTAGGTTCAAGCTAAAATGGCTCTTAAATTTTGGTCAACATCTTGATGCAACCAGTCCTGCCCAGCTGGGCGCCATTAAGAATCACAACCAGACTGCCACAGGGCATCCTGACAGTGGTATTTAAAAACCCATTAAGACAAACCTTTAGTGCAACTGAGAGTTTTGGAATCAAATTAAGAATAAAAAAGGCTCACTTCCAAATTAAAATAGCAAAAAAGTGCTTATTTTGTAATTGTTCCAGGGAAGTCTGTATAAAACCACTGGGCTATTCTGTTTCGATTCTTTATGTGTGCATTTTTAAAGTTTTTACTACTATGGGCATCTGGAAAAAAAATAGTTGTAACATGATCATGTATAGCACATATATTGCTTATAAAATAGGATAACAACAGAATTCAAAGGAAACATGCTCAGAGCATTCTATTTCCTTTCAGAAAAATCTACATACTACCTGCAAAAATAAGTATATTTAAAATTTCCAATTAATATTTAAATTTAAAAAAACAGAAAGCTATCATTGATTCCATAGAATTGATTTCTATTAAAAAAAAGAATATTCTTTTCATGAACTGTGTTACAGTAGCCATGATCATATGTTGCTTTTATGAGGCTCTTTATAGGCAACCTATTTTACACAGTTATTGAATATAACACAAGTCAATAAAGTAAAGAAAGATGTGATAAAGTCACAACATCCAACTTTATGAATGTCTGATGTGAATTTCTGAGATGTAAAGATTTGAGATACTGGAATAGCTGATTCAAACTATAAAAAACACTTGTAAGAAGTCATTTTTTTTCCAAATGTATTTTTGCAAATCAAGTTTAGACTACTTTCCTCCCATAATATTTTGAAGAGAATTAGATAAAAGAAGCTGAGCCTGAAGATGCTTTAGGATGCTTAAAGATCAAAGATACTTAATGCTCATCTCTAAAACACAGGCAACACACACAGAAAAGTACACAAAAAAGTCAAAATAATCTTTTTCTAACATACATAATTTAGATCAGGAATTTCCCCCAGATTACATTCAAGTTACAGGAAGAGAGCTCACTCTAGAGTTTCCTCCTCTGTCCAATTTTTCAACTTATAATTCACATTACTTAATAGCAATCCTASTATCTACCAGATAGGCTTCTATCAATTAGGCGGCAGTCAGCAACTTTGTTTTTAATSAATATATGAACTCGTAGGAGGGAAGCAGCCAGTTAGGCTTTTGACTTCAWTAACACATGTTGCAGATGTGGCAACAGAAATGTACGATACAGTATTTGCTATCATAGTGATACGAGAAGAAAAGCAATGTTTAATTTATGCTGTAGGATGGTGAGTGAACTAGGAAACATAAGTCTGAGGTTACAGAAAATGAATTAAAGAGCTGAAAGTGCCTTTTTCATTTGCAATCTGCAAATCTGCCCATTGTTTTACAACGTGCCTTTCAGCCTGCTAATAAATACCTCATCCTAATCTCTTCCACACTAT